ACTCGAACCTGGTGATTGGGTTTGGGTACATATGCGCAAGGAAATGTTTCTTACTCAACGGAAATTAAAACTTTATCTAAAGGCAATGGACCATTTCAAGTCCTTGAGAAGATCAATGGCAATGTTTACAAGTTGGATCTTACTACTGTGTCTAATGTTAGTGTTGCTTTTACTGTGGCTGATCTTTCTCCTTTTGATGTAGATGTTGGAGATTAGCAGACGAATTATCTTGAGGAGGGAGGGAATGATGCAAATAAGGCAGGATACAAGAACATGGATCCAATTCACCTACCTAATGGTCCGATTACAAAAGCGAGATTGAAGAAATTCAAGAACTTATTGAACGGGATAATTCAAGACTTGTGAAATGACATTGACAAAATTCAAGAATACAACAGGAAAGCATGTATTGGGCTTGAACTGAATAACATAAATCAAAACTTGGTCACATTAACTCAAGTGCAAGTTACACCAGCCCAATATAAAATTGAACCAGTTTGCTTGGATGGGCCATAACTTGGGCTTCTGATATCCAAATTAGGTGATTCAAAAACCTAAACTTATCTATACATTTGAGCCTACAACTTTTATGGAGAAACCCAATCAAATTCGAATTTTATCAGATAAATAATTGGCTCACAAATTTTAGAACGAATTCTGACTTAAATACATTGGATCTACTTGTTTTCATTTATTGTATTTAGACTTTTACTTTTTCTTATTAAATAGAAATATTTACTTAGTTATATGAAAAGTTGTGACTCTTAGAAGTATTAAAATTTATCTTGAAGGATTATTCCATCTATAAATAAGTAGTATTCTCTTTTGCAAACATAAGTTGATCTATGAATTTGCTTAATGTAAGGTTTCTTAAGAGAGGTTTTTCTCTTGTTCTGATTCTTGTTTGAATCAAGATTCTTACGAGTAAAGCTAATTACTTTGTGAGTAGTTTATTCCAAGGTTCTCTTTAAGGGTTGAATTTGGATTATAGATTTATTCCAAAGTTCTCTTACACGAATTGAATTGGTTCAAGAACTTGTAAATCTGATTTAGCTTTCCAAGAGGTTGCTTCCAAGCATAAAGATATTAGGTCTCGGGTTTAATATACCCCCGATTCGTATCACTTAGCATATTTGAAACTCCAATAGAACATGAAGAACAAGTAAATGGTGAAAGGGTAAATTAATTTGTGAATAAATAAAATTTTATAGAAGTACTACAACTTAATAATCAAGAATTAACCAAAAATATCGAAGGCATGCACATCAATGAGGTAATTGAGATAATAAAAAGTCTTATGGAAGTTGTTATTTCTATTGATCAAGTTGAGTTTTCTAATGATGATTCTTCTGATCTAACAACAAGCAACAACATTGCTCATGTTGAAAACAAGAATATTCTAGTTGGTTTAAACTCCATGATGAAAGAGGCCTCACTTAAGGATATTAATACATTTTCGTGGAGTCCTACTAACAATGAGAAAGCATTGGTCCACTACATCTTTATGGATTTTGTCATTCCTCATCGGTCCAGTACATCTTTAGAATCCTTGATTTCAGAAGCATTCATATTATCTCATGACAATTTTATGTTTCATGAGCTTTAAGTGTTATTAAGACAAACTCCAATTTCGATATTATTTCTATTTCAACATTTCAAAACTTGAAGTCAAGTTTTCACCATGTAGAACATAATGATGTAGAACACGAAAATCATAAAATGGAGATCAAAATATATATTTAAATTATTGTAATGTTTATCTATTAATGAAGTATTTCGGTTATTTAGGAACTAGTATATATATGGATTAAGTTTATCATTTCATATTTAATAGGTTACTATTTAGTCAATTTTTCTGTTATAGTTAGTCAATTAATTAGCTTATTTCCTTATTTTCCAGATTTTCTATCTTGATTATATTTTGGTGTCCATAAATAAGGCACCCTAACATAATTATTAAGTAGGCTATTATTAACTTTTATTCAAATATTGAGATATTACTTTTTATATAAGAACTCAAAATTTGTTCTTAATAAAATTTCCTTAAGTTTCGCTTTAAGCTCTCTTTATCATACATCATCTAGTTTCTAACAGCCATATTCCACACACAAACACATAATAAAAGAAAAGAAACAATCTCAAACCTGCAGGAGACATTTCAAGTTTCTTCCTATAGCAATATCACGAGCAATTGACAAGGTGTAGTTGATCCATACTCGCAGTGCATCAGCAGCCTTTAGAACAGATGCCTCAGAAATTTCCAGATCAGGAAGTGGGGGCAGAGGTCTGAATAATTGTATTAGTCAACCTTATTATATAAACCCTAGAACACTGTCAATCTTAGCCTTCACTTCCCCATCCCGAAGGTTCAACACTCAAATATGGATTTGCAATTTTCATTTTAAACATAAATCTTACAAAGGAATACAACCCCAACTTGGTAACAACTTCACCAATTGCATTGTGTTATACTGCATCTGAAAGATTCTAGAAAACCTATTTACTTGTGCATGGACAAAGAGATGCAGTAAGTTGATGCTCATCTTTTTTATTGATCCAAAGACCAGAAGAGGAGAAAAGAGCATGAAAACCAAAGACCTTAGGTTCTAACAGCATACATAGTCCCAGTTTATCCATATTGGAATGTAATACCTCACTTGTAAGCTCAGTTCTCAGCAAATTCGAATTCCAAGACTCTAATTCTGTTCTATAAAGTATGACGTGAATGATGTATTATAAAAGAGTTTTAGAAACCCACCATATCCCAAGCCTGATTCTAATCAAAATGAAGTAATTGAAAACTTATGTAGGAAAAACATTTGCCTTGAAGCAACAAACAACAAATAATTTTGCACAATTAGAGCAATATTACCCTGAAGAACCATTTTGAATCACAAAAAATGGAAAGTACCTATTGAGAAGCAAAGCAGACTTGGCCCATAGGAAAAGAATTACAACAAGAAGCAATAAAACATTGGCCACAAAGGACAAGAGATTATAGCCTGCTCTCTCAAAGAGGAACCAGAAGGTTGTTGCAGAGACTAGCACAATAAACCCTCCATGCCATTTCCTCCACAACAGCAAGTCGGTAACTATCAGACATAGAAAAAAAAAATTCAAAGCTTAAGTTAATTAACTATATCAAACATTAGTCCGTAACATGATCAACAAACTATATGCATATAATAGTTTATGAATACCTAAATCTCAGTCGTATTCCAATCTAACATAAGGTACATAAATTCTTAACCACAAACAAAAACTAAGAAAGAAAACATTCTTAATTAACTGTAAAGAATATGTTAATTACTGCATTTACATATAGACAGGCATTACAAGGGTAATGTTAATTTTCACATATAAATATAGGTAAACATACATGCTATACATACAAGGAAAGATACAGTATGTACATATAAATACAGCGAGAGAGAGGGAGAGAGTGGAGACCTGAACCTCCTCACCTAGGTCTGATGAACAGATCTAAGATCAAAAGAATTACATTCTGATCCTCCCATGGCGATTTAGCGTTTGTAGAGCAAGAATTAAGGGAGAGAGAGAGAGAGAGTAGCGAGTGAGAAGAGAATACAAACAGCAAAAAAAAGATAAAGGAAATGTAGAAACAAAGAGGTGAGAAAGAGAGAGAGAGAGAGAGAGAGGAAACGTCGTACTTGTGGGTTGTTTTCTAATTGCTTAAATACTAAATTTTCTCATTAAAAAAAAAAAGAACACGGTACGTATATCATTTGTTATTTACCCAAAACAAAACCTAAATCTAATCCATGTATGGAAGTCATATGAAGCTTTATTCAGTCCTGTTAAACCCCCAATATGAGCAATCTTGGCAAGAAATTGAAAAATCACATGGTTTCCAGTAAACTAATACCAAAAGGAACAGAAAACGGAAACTATATATCTTCCCCAAACAGAACCTCAATGCAATATTATAACCTAAATTCCATATTCAGAATCATATTCAAGCATTATCATACAGCAAAATCATGCTAGCGCTTCAAATTAAACATTATCCATATGCATCGATTTTGGAACTACCTCTATCGTTCTAATCAATCCACACATTTCAAAATCAAGCACGTCAAACAGGATGATGAGAAGTTACCAACATGAGATTCCCGTTGACTCAGAGCCATTAATAACTGAATATGCTCGGCTAATTACAATCAAAATGCCGATCAAGGGTTATTTCGGTGGGTTTAGAAAGAGAGGAAGGAGCTTTAAAGGAAGGGAAACGAGATAGAGCTGGTAGATACGGTAAGGGCAGAAAAGATGGTTCCGGTGAGAGGAGCAATGAAAAGGCAGGGAGGATAATGGAGATGGTAGAGGAAGAGGCTAGAATTTTCTCTCTTGCAGTTTTAAATTGAGAGAAGGAGATGATCAACCTATGGAAGTTTTGGTTAGATGGTGGTTGTGAAAAAAAAATAGATAGATAAATCGGGAAGAATGATGGTGTGTAGTAGGGTGCAGGGAATAGTATGGATTTCAGTTTGGTAAATAGGTTGTACCAAAGAAATTACGGTTTAGATTTGGTTAAATAACATGGGTAAATACATGGGTTAACTTGGAAGCTCTATAAGGCACGCTAATTCGGTACCACGCAGGAGGTCACGCTGGCTATCCGCATGTTCGCGATCGAATGACCTAGAAGCGTTCCCACGTGCATGAACGGTTCGGATACGTTCCCTCATCAGGCTCGATTGGATGGTAGCGATTAAACGCAATGAACGGTTCAAATTTGTTTCCTCTTTAAACACGATCGGATGGTCGAGATCAAATCGCAATGAACAGTCAAAATTCATTTTCTCTTTAAACGTGATCGAATGATCGATATCAAACGTGATAAACGATCCAGATTAATGCAAGATGAATATAAATATTTCATATCACACCGAACCTGAACCCTAGCCGCCAACCTCCCATTGGAGAAGAGGAACCAATCGTTGGAGAAGGGAGTCGACCGCCACCCCCCGCCACGCCGGAGCCACCTCTGACCGTCAAAAAAGGTAAAAATTCTTCTACCCGCTCGGAATTTGATTCCGAGAACCCCCATGGCCAAATTAAAGTAAAAGGAACAGTTGATGAGCCGAAAATTACGGGCAAAGCCCAGCAGCATCGCCACGGGCAAAACCCGCAACCTCCTTCGATGAGCCCTTTTCCATTTCCCGTTTCGTGCGATTTTTTCACCATTATGTTCACTGTTTTGTTTTCTACAGGTTGACCAAAGAAAAACATTCAACCGCAAAGGTGAGCCGGTGGAGCTGTCGCATCGAAAAATTTCACAATTGGTAGGTTTCTATTTTTTAACTTTTTTCAGCCAACCGAGATCTCTGAACGTGTTTTCTCGCAGAGATGAGTATAAAACTAGCCAAAACCGACTAAAACTAGTTGAAAACGGTTAGGTTAAAGCAAACTGTCACCATGAGCGGCGGTGCTACCATGCCAAAACCCTGAAATTGGCCTAAAAGGATCTTTAAAACCGATTTTGAGTTTTTAAGTATTTTTAGTATGTGAAGTGTATTTTATATTTCTAGAAAAATTCAGAAAACTTGGGGACGCCACTAGTGCAGTAAAAGTTCAGTAGTTCGA